ATAAATAATAAATAATAATAATAATGAATAATAATAACAATAATGAATAATAAAAATAGTAATAATGAACTTCTCTTGCAGGGTCACATACCAACAGTAGGTTGGGTAAAAATCGCCTTTATTAAAAACTCGTTATCAGCTAGTATTATTGACGTTCAAGATCCGATGATCTTGAAATAATTGCAGTTAGATTTGAGCTGAATTCCAAAATGCTTAGTCAATTGGTATTTACTGCCTAACTCGAGTAATGAGTTCTATGCAAAATTTTCTTCGGTAATTGATTATGTACGCAATTTTGTTAGCCTAGAAGATTAGGTTTTTTGTTTTCGGAGATTTTAATCTTCCAAACATTAGGTAGATGACTCATGATGACGAATCGTTTTTGACTGCAATTGACTGTTGTAGCGAGTTGGAGTTTCCGTTTATAGATACCTTTCATCTAAATAATTTGCAACAAATATCGCCAACAACAAACCATCAATCGAGGCAACTGGATCTAGTCTTTACTTCCAATTGGTACAATTGTTTACTTATAACTGTCCCGGATCCGTTGGTTAACGTTGATATCTATCATCCTCCGATATCTTTCTCTTATTGCATTGACGACCAACCACCTATTGACGAGCCTCTTTTCTATCGTTTTGATTTTAAAAGGACGAATTTCGCAACGCTAAATGGTTTCTTTTCTTCTTACAACTTCTCTCCAGTATTTAACTTTACTGATATTGAGTCTATGACGGGTAAGTTTTATGAAATCCAAAGTTTTCACAAGAGTTAACAATGATAATTTCTGATTGTCGTATGATCAATTTAAATTAGCAGCAAAGGAACAACATGACTACAATATCTATGAAATTTCGAATAATGTAATACATAATCAAAAAGTTTTCTTCAAGTTCATAAACCAAAAGAGGAAAAGTGATAGTTATCCAAGCCTTGAAGAGGCGGGATAACAAGTAATAATTCAGCGGGGGTACAAGTAATAATTCCCAAACTTTTTCCGAATTTTTTCGTAACTTTTTCGCCGAACCTTACTCTTTTTCACTTTTTCAAATAGATGATGACGACTTTCGGTACATTGATAACTATCCTAAAACTACCTTTACAAATTTTATCACGAATTCTTCTGCGATTGAAAAATATCTTTCTAATTCGGGATCTAGTCTTTCTCCAGGACCAGATGTAGTTCCTGGGAATATTTTAAGCAGAAGGTGGTCTTCTGGCGACCATCTTAACCGTAATTTTTTCTTCCGTGTGTAAGGAAACTTTCATTAGGCCAATCCATAACAAAAACAATAAAAATGACGTGGAAAGCTACCGTCCTATTGCTAAACTATCAGATAGAGCTCGATGTTGGGCTTTATTCAAGCCTGGTCAAAGAAGTTTATGTCTTAAAATCGCTCTACACGTGCCTTGTCCGTTCTTATCTTGAATAAGCTTCGATAGTATGGTCATCTTATTACGATATACATATTGACACGATTGAGTCTATTCAAAAAAAATTTTTGAAGTTTGGACTGCGCCTTTTTTCTTAGGAAGACCCCATCATTCTTCCGCCTTGTGAACCCTGGTTCAAATTAATTGACTTTCTCACACTGGGCAAAGAGGTGATGTTGCGGATTTGTTATTCATTTTTCAGCTTATGAAAACTGACCTAACCTCTCTTGACATTTTAAATAAAATTGTGACTAACCCTAGCTTTAGACTAACCTAATTATGGAGAACATGAACCTGTCAAAGATTTGACTTTTCACTGACGGAAGACACGATGAAAAAATTTCTATTTACTTATAGTTAAGTATAATGTTTTTTTTTTATTTTAACAAATTCTTGTTTTAGTTTTGCATTGTTTATGTTACATATGTATTTAATGGAGTATTAGTATTAATAAGTTTTATTTTTAAATATTAAATTTACTAAAATCTAAATATCAAATTTTTAAATTTAATATTTAGGTCAAAAATTTGTTACAGTCTACAAGAAATTTATATACATATATGCGTTCTTTAATATTAATTTTTGTAAAATGTTTGAGCCAAACATTAATAAATAAATAAATTTTTAAGTAATACTTGTACTTTTAAACTTGGATGAAATTTTGCGCTCTAAAGTTATTATGTTTTTATATTTTATTTTAAATTAGATATGATTCAAATTTTATTTTCAAAAAGTTTTTTAAACTGACAAATATATCTAAATCTAAACTACGTAGATTTTAACTTAACTTTTCACAAGTTTTTTAGCACTTTTCCAAAAAATTTTTGAAGAAAAGTGCTCATTAGTTTCACTCTGTCCGTCCGTCCGTCAGTCTGTGGACACTTTTTTTGTTTACAAAACTTCTACACTCTTGAAAATGGAAAGCTGAAATTTAATACGTACATAGATCTTTACTAAAAACTTATTTCTGTAGAGCAAAATTTTTACCTATCTCCCCCCCCTCTAGAAGTTATACCCCCCCGAAAGCTTACGAAGGGCCTTTTTTAACTATTTGTTGCAATGAAACCATAAGCATTTTTGAAATTTTGCAAACGCAGAAAGGCACTGACTTGCTTCCCCTAGCGCGGTGTACTATAGTTAAACTTTAGAAAAACAAAATGGCCGTTCAAATTTACCGTTATCTAAAGTCCTTTTTTTCCAAATTTTTCATGTCGTTTTTCTTCTAGACCCCAGGTTGTAGAAGCTTGAAATTTTAAGGGTTTTTAGACATTAACAAATAGTTCATTTCGATCAAATAAAATTTTTTTCCATCTCCACCCCCTCTCAAGTTGTCGCCTTTTGAAATTTGTAAAATTTGAATTTTTGATACCTAATATTTCCGAAACCGCAAGTTCTTTCTAATTTCTATAAACGCAAAAAGCTAACGGTGAATTCCATGATATTAAAAAATATAATTATTTTTCTTAACTCACATTTAAACCTTAAAATCGAGCATTATTTTGACTCCACTTTATATTAATTTTTGCTTTATTTCAAAGACTGCATTTATACATCATCCTAATTATATGCAATCCTAGAAATAGTTTTGTATATGAATGAAAATAATTTTAATAGTGTGATAGGTATACATAGACTGTATTTAAAAGCAAAATTTTCACTTGTTGAAGGGAAAAATGTTACAATACAAACCATTGGTTTGACCCAATTTTTCATTGGTTTGACAGAAGTTCTAACTATACTTTTGCAATCGTTCTTTCGTAAGAAGGTCACCCTGTATGCTTGGCATTTAGTACTTTTAGGACAGACATTTTTAGGGAAATACCAGTAATAGGAAAATACAAATAATAGGCAATTTATGTTTATAAAACGTTCTTATCAAGTTAATGCAATTTGCACTTAAGTTGAAGCAGTGAAATAAATTTCTTTATATCACACAAAAGAAAGCTGCCTATAAATCACATAAAAAATAAACTGTGACATTCAAATTGTAAGTAAAACGCAAACTTTACAAAGTTTTATGATCCAAATTATAAACCGAAAAATTCTTTCAATGCTAACTGATCCAAAATGCTTAGTAAACGCCAAATAAAAGGAAGAATAAAGAAACTGCGAATCTAAAAATTTAAGTATACTCAATTAAAAATTTCAAAAGATTATAGTGTGCATGAAATTTAATTTTTTTTTTTAAATTTCGTAATTCAAAAAGAGTTATGAAATTCAATTCATAATTCAAAATTTCAAATTTAAAAATTTTTTTTAAAAAATAGTGATCCAAAACAAAAATGTACGTTGTATTTTTTTGGCTATGTATTGTTTATCTCAGCAACCGGCATACAACTTCAAAATGTGGCACATCCCTCTGCTTGCAAGAGAAAAATATATTTGATGGCGACAATTAAGGTTTTTCAAAAAAATTTTGAGAATCTTCGATAATAGATATAGGAACATAAAATTCCATACAAATTTATTATTTGTCAAAACAAAACAATCAATAAAGTCAGTTGAAAATGTCACTTTTCTTGTAAATAGGTAATGTAGAAGACTCGATTTGCACATACTCATACCCACGTAGTACATATTTGCCAATAACCCATAAAAGTTTGCCGAAGTCTAGTTTAGGTAATATAAATTTGTATTAGCACGATATGTTAACTGTAATAAATCTTTGTTTTGAGAGAATTTGGATGTCACAGAAAATATATTATCCAAAATTTCAGAACTAGGTAAAATTTTTAGCCCTTTTCCAAAAAATTAAAAAAAAAGTGCTTATTAGTTTCATTCTGTCCTTCCGTCCTCCAGTGGACATGTTTACAAAATCTCTACACTCTTCAAGATAAAAAGGTGAAATTTTTATGTACATAGATCTTTACTAGAAACTTATTTCCGTAGAAAAAATTGTTTACCTATCTCCCCCCCTCTAAAAGTTTTACTCCTCCCCCCCCCCACCACCCCCCCCCCCCCCCACCCACCTTAAAAATGATTTTTTAAATTTCAAAAAAAAAAAAAACAAAATAGTTGTTCAAATTTACCGTTATCTAAAATCCGTTGTTTCCAAATTTTTGATGTTGTTTTACCTCAAGGCCCCAGGTTGTAGGAGCCTGAAATTTTAGCAGCTTTTAGACAAATAGTATATTTCGTTAGTAGATATACTAACGAAATAGTATATTTCGTTAGTTTTTCCACCTCCTCCCCCTATCAAGTTATCGCTTCTTGTTATTTGTAAAATTAGAATTTTTGATGCCTTATATATCCGAAACCGCAAGGTTTTTTTAAATTTCTATAAACGCAAAAAGCTAACGGTAAATTCCATGACATTAAATATAATTATTTTTGTTAGCTCACGCAATTAACCCTGAAACTCGAGCATTATGTTATTTAAGATATTAAGATAAGATATATTAAGATAAGATAAAAGTATTTGATTGTAATTGCCTAAACGGTATTCTTTCTACTTACTCCTCCTCAAGTACTATATGAATCTGTGTTATGATTATTAATTTTTTTAAGTATATTTTGCATAAGCAGCTACAGTATTAATTGTTATAATTTTTTATCTATTTCCAGGAGTTGGTAATGTTATATAAAATAAAATACATTCCAAAAATAATATTGATAATAATACATTGTGGGAATTCAAAAACAGACAACTCGAAATGGCTAGTCCAGAGGGAAAAGCTGCAATTCATGGTAAGAACTTTTCTTTTGTCTTGTTTTGTTTCATTCTATATTTTTATATTTTTGATGTTAAAGTTTACCCCATTTTATTTGTTTATATTTTAAAAAAAACTGAAATATGTTAGTGGCAATTTATAAATACAAAATATTTAAAGTTCATTTTACTATTTTATAACTAATAAAATTTGTTAAAAATATAAAACATACATTTTAAACCTTTATAAGTAACACACATATCTTTTGCTATTTGAATTAATAACAAATATGAATTATATTTGCTTTATTAATTCAAACTCAGTATTGTTATGTAGTATCATAATTTTCTAAATATTTCAACGATAAATAAATAAAACAAAAAAGAAGAATAACCTTTTCAAGGATTTTCTTGCATCTGCAATTTAAATTGTTTCACTTGCAAACTAAATGGGAATTTGAAAAAAAATAACAATAAAAAATAAAAAAGGTGTAATAGACAAAGATAATAATCAAATCATATGAAATTACTACAAATGAGAAGTAGAGCAGCGAAATAATATTTATGTGATTTTCTATTTTTTTACTATAATTTAATTTGAACAAATCGACATTTTGCCGTTTTACAATTTCAAAAAACATCCGATTTTGCAATAAAAAACTTTTTTTTAAACTTTTTAATTATGATATTGAAAAAAAAATTTATTTTGAGGCTAATTTTCTTTTGTTTATTTATTTAATTATTTATTTATTTATTTTAAATTAAATCAAGGTATTTATAAAAAAATTAGCTAATTCCAAAAAAATCTCTCATTTTTCCTTAAAAAAAATAACAACATTACTTATGAATAGAAATTAAACATACTTAAAAACACTTAAACTAAATTTTATATGCTCAGCAAAAAATTGAACTTGAAAATTTCTTGAAACTTGAAAAACTTGAAAAACTATTAAAGTCAAATATTCTTCATATAGAACATAAAATATAATATTGTAACGATAAAAAAGTAGCAATAATAGAGACCTTACAAGATGTGAAGTTAATATGATTTAAAATTTTTCGTGTAGTCTGGTGTAGGAGAAATAAAATAATGTTCTTTAGCTTTTCACCAACGTTTCGACTAATTTTAAATCTTCATCAGGGCTAAAATTAAAACTTTATATGATAATACTGTTTTTAGAGTATGTCATACATGTCTTATATATATACATTCATTAAGTTATTGAACAAATTTAAATTTTATATTAACATAATTTACTAGATTGTGCATTTTTTCAAGCGAACCGGGTGGGGCAGGAGTATCCCCCGGGCCACCGCAGCCATTCGCGACTTATTGTAGCCTCCCCACGTTCCTTCTACAATATCAACGTTCCAAGTATGTAACCGGAGATATCCCTAAGAGAGTTAGACAGCAGTTCCCGAACATTTAAGAAACTCTGTCCAAAATAATTACGCCGCCGGTGCCGGGCAGTCGCAAGGTACATGAACGGCAGTTTCATCAGCGCCCCCGCAAAATCTGCACTGAACAGAGCCCGATTTCCAAAGGCTATCACAGACTATAGACTATTTGTATACGTCCACACTCTCCGCTACTATTCAACATAGCCCTAGACGAAATAATGCGGAAGTCAACCACCACTCCAAGGGGCATACAATGGTCTTTAACGAGACGCCTGGAGGATTTGGAATACGCAGATGACATCGCTCTGTTGTCCCACACACATTCAGACATGCAAGCAAAATTGAACGAGCTGCATACAAAAGCAGCAGCGGTCGGTCTGAAAACAAATACGAGAAAAACCAAATCACTCCGACTCAACGCAACAAACATTATCCCCATCGTTATAAATACAGCCGCAATACAAGATGTTGTAAAATTCAATTACCTCGACAACGGGAGGGGTCAAAGAAAACGTTGAAAATAGGTTAAAACTTGCCAAGGCGGCATTCGGGAGATTATGGACCATATGGAAATCCTCACACTTATCCAGGAATACAAAACTCAGAATATTCAACACATGTGTGAAGGTGGTCCTGTTGTGTGACTCCGAAACATGGATAGTGAAAAATGAATGTATTCATTTCATGTATTCATAAATAGGAGGTATTCATAAAATGCAGGTATAAATAGGAGCCTAATGATCACCTGTCGTGTATTCTGGCCCAGACGAATCAGCAACAAGACCTCTGTGTTGCTGACAGAAGGGGAGAAAGAACCCCGCCCTGGAAGTTTCTTCTTCCACAGAAGTTCACTAGGTCCCTTAACTGTTCTTCTGGATGGGCACAGTCACCCCGAAGATAGGATGAACATACAACAAACTCTGTCCAACCCACGAGGGATCTTACCTTTACCAACGCAGCTATCTGGTCCTTGGAGTAGTGATCTGAATCTTACGTTAGTCTTTTACTAAACAAGATACAGGCCCTAGCCCTACCTCCAATTGTATTGTCATACAATAGCTGACCTGTTAGGCCCTTAAGCTGATCCTTCACTATGTAAGGTTCTTGGATAAGGACGATTTCGAGGTGATCCTTCACAAATCTATAAGCCAGAGCATCCGTAGATTCCGTTTCGTGCTGTAGATTTATTTGGATGCACATCACAGCCGTATCATTTCTTTCGGCTCTTGCCTATGGGCTGTAGCTCTTTAGGCAAACGCTCAACATGGGACCCCCTGCTCCTTTTGTCTTTCTTGACTTGCGCGCCGGCAAGATTTTCTTTTTCCTTCCCGCCCTCCGTTTTTGCCTTCGCGGGTCCATTACTCTTGAGGTGGAGGCCCCATCTGCTCCAGCTGTAGACCTTGAGCCGTTTCAGGTTCCCCGATGGGCTCAGGCCCTTCCGGCTCCCTTAAACAGCTCTTTATTTCTGCGCCAGGCGTTGGTCTTGTCGGCTCCTTAGAGCCTGCCCTGACGCCAGGACACTGTAGTAATTTTCTTCCTTTCACCCTGACGGTTATTCGGGAGAAATTAAGAAAAAGTCGGAACTCCGCTTTCCATAGATCCTCCAAACCGGAATCGTCTACCCCCCATTTTTTTCTCCATCCATACGGAGCACCCTCCAAGAGCTCATCTTTAGTTTGGGATTTTGCTTCTCTATCCCACCGATGAACCTTTCACTGGAGAGACCGACGGTTGTTTCGTCCTTTGTGACATAGGTAACACAGATGTGCACGTTGTCGCCATCTAGCACAACTATGCTAGAGCCGTCCCAAGGTTTAATCCTGTTGCAGACACTGGTAATTCAATCCCTGGTGTTCCTGTTGTTGCATGTGACGGATATTCATCCGGCTCTTTGCGACGCTGCAGTAAACTGGGAATGCGAGTCGGACCCCTTGTCTATTTCGTCCATGATGGCTGCTTCTATTTTCTCCATCTGGACGTCGGATAGCCTCTCATAGGGGTGCAAATCATGCTACTTTGATTTGCACCACTGGATCAAAGGGACATTTTTCTCAGCATTGCTCTCCATCGACCTCTTCCTCGAAGGTTGTACGTCAGAAGTGTTAGTCTCTGATCTTTCCCTCTTCTGGGCATGGTTGGTTGTAACAACCGTTTCGCAGGCCCTCAGCTTTTACAGGCTTTTCTTTTCGTATTAGCGAGCTTCTTCTGGAGATATACCATCCCTGATGTACGCCGCGGTTTGTCTTTTGGAGGCGCCAAAGAAATATTAAATTTTGTGAGATATATATGTACAATTATACCGATGTTTCTTTACAGTTGGAAGGTAAATGAATATTAGCTTGTGATCCGAAAATGTGCATGCCACTAACAAAAATTGACATATCCATACCGGATATCATCAAAGAAAAAGAGTATAACTTCTTTAATTTAAATATTTCTGAAAATGATAAAGCAATAGTTAGGAGCAATTTATTGAATATTATCACAAACTTTTATAATAACATAGATAAATTAAACAACATCATAAGTGACTATAAAAAAACACAAAAAATTTTTAAAGCAAAACGAAGAATAGCGATAACGGAAATAGCAAGGTGGTCATGTACAAAAATCTGATGTGGTCAGCAGATAAACGACTAGTTAAGTAAAAATGTTCAGAATATTATAAAACTGTCTGTTAAATACTTCTTTCTAATTTTTAAGGCATTAGTAAGTTTATTGTTAACATACCTAGAAATATGTAAATTTGGATCTTAGTAGAGTTTCGCTTTGTGCTGCCGGAATTCCCTGAAATGCTCGCCAGTTTGTTTCGGAAACAACCAGAACCTAAATATCAAATTTCAAGAAATTAGTTCAATCTGTTTCCGTAGAATCGGCCCTCAGATCAGTTTCCGAGCCCTGATCTTTCCAAAAAATTTATATGTTCATTGTTTTAATACGAAGAATTTAAATATTAAATTAAAATGAAATTGGTTGATAATTTCTCTTTACATACGCAAAAATGTATATTTGGCCCGAAGTAAATGTCCAGTTGCTTACACTTGATTTCTTCCAAAAGTTAGAGGTTTCGCGGACGGTCGAATGAAGCTCATATATGAAACTTCAAGTAAATCTGTTGAGTATTTTTTTCATTACGATCAAAAATGTAAAACAGGCCCGCTAAAAAGTGCAATTTTCGAGTCCTGATATATCTCAAAAGTTGCTCAATACGTACCATAGCCGAAATAAACTTACATATAAAATTTCATCAAAATCGGTCAAGCCGAACTTGATGTACGCGTGTACACACAGACAGACTGATCGACAGACCGACAATTGTTTATTTACATTTCCCTTGGAGAAGTGCGTTCCTACGGAAAACTCAGTATGCAAAATTTGTTGCCATCACATCACCTACCTATTGTATTAACAAAATGGTAATGTAATGTTAGAGGAATGAATGAAATAGTAGATGATAATAATATATATAAGATTTTGAATAAGGACCCTACCAACGTTTTTCAAAGCAGAGCAAAAATACTTGTAGAAAACTTATAAAATAGCAAATATATTAATGAGCTAGAATACATTAACATGAAAAAATCGAACTCACTAGCTCCAAAATTATACGGCATGCGAAAAACATAAAAAGAAAATG